ATTCCTGAACAAGCGGCTGGAGAAAATTTGATCCAAATACTCCCCTATTCTAGCGAATTGGGAATCAACCCCACTCACTATGGGTCTCCCCAGTGGTTTATCTAAATCCTTATGTATTTTTGGCAATTGATATATTACATTGGTAATGGGAGCATCAAGGATAAGGTATCTGCTATCTTTCTTATTCAAAAACCGTTCCTTCTCACCCAAAGTTATTAATTTCTTCAATTTAGCTTTATATTTAATGGTAGGGTTCCCCTTCAGGACTTCATAAGTCTCCTGCTCTTTTACCAACCTGTCAAGTTCCTCATAATAATCCTTTTTGTTCAAAATAACCACCCCTTCTCCTTTATCTGCTGGCCTTATTACAATCTCCTTATTTTTCTCTAATTACTCCAAGCCCTAAATAATATCTCTTTTTCTTCTAGTAAAAGGGATGGTGAGAGTCTCCAAATCATTTTCAATCATTTTCTTAAAGGTATCCACACAACAATTATTACTAATTTTAGGGTTGAAGATTGATTGATTTCTTAAATTGGTATGTAAATACAGTGAGGAACAGAAGTATTTGAACACCCTGTGATTTTGCAAGTTCTCTGACTTAGAAATCATGGAGGGGTCTGAAATTCACATTGTAGGTGCATTTCCACTCTGAGAGACAGAATTTAAAAAAGAAAATTCAGGAAATCACATTGTATGATTTTTAAACTCGTGACCGAAGGACTAGCCAATCTAAAACATGCGTACCAATGCCACGCCAAGCTGCACCCTGCACACAGATTTTCCAGCTAATGGACCACAACCTGTGTGTCGGCATCCTGGGAGCAATTGTTACTGGGTCAGGTTAATTACGCAATTACCCTTCACACTGCCACCACCTCCTTTTTGTGCAGAGAAAGAGGAAACTCGGCAATATCAGCAATAACACTATGATGTTTGAATAATCATTGGTATACCACTGTCACCGCATATACTGAAAGATTAAAACACACACAGTAGCGTTCTTCAGAGGCAGGAATTCGTAGTTTGCATTAAAGGGCTTTAGAAACAGTTCAACACTTTCAGAAAGTAAGATTTATTACTAAAAAGGTCAAAAGGGTGCAATAAAAGTATTTACAGAAAAAGATGTAGCCAATATATATATAAATATACAGAGAACAATAACACAGCAAAGAGATAACAGGGAGAAGTTTAGAGGGTTAAAGTACTTGCCACACGTCCTGGGTTAAGCAGATCAGGTTTCAGAGCAAAAGGATTTCTTATCTCCCACTGTTGGTTCCGATGTTAAAACAGGGAGATTCTTCAACTTCTTTCTTTCTTTCTTTCCAACTCAGCCTAGCTTAGCTTTTTTTTAGTAACTCCACAGGGTGTCTCCATGGAGCAGTAAACCAATCTCCTCCTTTGGGGGAGGGAGGTGTAGGTTGAGACCTAAGCTATGACCAAAAAACTCTCACGTTTGATGTCATGGTTCATAACTTATTCTTGGTGCATTTAGCAGCCTGGCCACTAGTAGATTAATACTCAGAATCACCGGCGGAACGTCTACATATGAAACATGAGACAACTGCTTGAATGGTTAAGCAGATATAATTTTCTGCTCTCCTGTGTATGCCAGCTAGGGGGTGTAAAATACCAGGAGACTGGTCTTCAAGTGAGCCGTCCGAATATGGGCTCCATGTTTATGTAAGTCTTTCATAATCCAAGATATATAATTATATGGAAAAGTGAATTTTTAAATGTAGGTCTGTTTTTACGACTCCTTGGAATGCCTTGAAGTTCAGTGAGGGCTTGGTTTATGGCTTAATGAGCCCTCTCTAGCAAGGGTCTGTAAGCCGTGTACCGGGGTGGGCTCCCCAGGATACAGTGAAGTCACGAATGAGGAAAGCAACCCCAACACCAGCTTTTGCCACAACAGAATTTTACTTAGATGTGACAAATAAACACAACCACAAATGCTGAGAACATACAATAAATTTACATACACCCAGCCCAAAGGCTGAGACCCTTGTGCTGCACAGCACGGCGCCTCCTGATGGATGAAGGTAGAAAGTGTAGTAATTTACCTACTGGCGGGCACAACTAAGCTGCCACACCTTACCCGTTATTACCCTAAAAGAGCAGGAATCAGTGTATGGTATGGGCTACCAGGCGGTGCAGCACAACAGCTTACAATCTTACACAAATCTACAGTATTCCCCCTCCCATAACTGGTCCTGTAGCACGTGCCTGAGTATTCCTTCTGAGCAAAACGTTAGTCTGGCTTGAGTTTATAGGATTTTATCAGCTCTCCAATGTGAAATGTCACTTTAAGTTGTGGAGTCCTTCCAATAATCAGTAACCACACTTGTGGCCTGACACAAACAGAGACCCTAACTAACTAACTATAGGCCTGGACTCAGTCTATAGGCGCCAACACTGAAATGAGGTGCATACACAATCTTACCGACCCAGGTCTGCTTTGCATCCGCTGGTGACTCTGAACAGAACAAATGTCTCTCCAACAAGCATGCGATATTGCAGTGTATGCTGCATTGTTCCTAAGCTCTCTGGCAGCAATCTTCCTTTCACTGAACAGGATCAGGGTCTTGGACACGATCAGCTTCACTTAGCTGCAGCTCTGGTTACTGAGGGAAGCTCCCACACCTGGATGTCATCGGATTCTCAGCTCACACGGCCCCTTCATTCAGCACCGTTCAAAACATGGCTGCAGTCTCCTCTTCCTGTTCACTCCAACTCTGTGTGAAAACTCCACCTCTTCATGAATATACAAATATCTATGCAGTCTGAGGCTGTGTGTCAGGGCTCCAGGGTATGACCAGAGGTATGTGAACTGACGCAGGGAAACGCATGCTTCAGATATGATATAAACAATATAATTTATTAACACTAACAATACATAAACGCAGTGCAATACTAAAACATAACACAGTGCAAACGAACCAAACCACCCACAGATAATACATACAATGCAAGCGTCGTCAGGCAGGCCGGGTCAATAACAATCGGGCAGGTAGGAACAGGGGGTCAGGCAGAGAATGGTCGGGGTCACAAGCCAGGGATCAAACAGGAGAAGTCAGCAGAGGTCCGGATCAGGCAGGGTCAGCAACGAATCAGTCAGACAGAGACAGGGACAGGAACAGGAACAGGATGCAGGTAACAAGATACAGGGCCCAGGGCCCAGGAAAAACACACACCAAGGCCCAGACTGCAGGTCTGGCCATCCCTTAAATACACCTGCATAATTAGCTTCAGGTGTTTGGCTGGCTGAAAGGTTGAGTCTCTGATTGCTGGGAGCACCCGCTGGCCAGCCCTGGTACTGCAGCAGCCACACAAGGCAGGTGAGTCCAACCATTACTGGCAAGTCCATTCCTGACAGTACCCCCCCCCTCAAGGAACGGCCTCAGGAAGCTCCAAACAGTCCTAGCTGGGCAAAATGTTCCACAGCCCGGGTCTGGTAAAAACTGGCGGGATATCAAAGACTGGCACATCGGCAGGACTTCCGGGCAGCGGCACATCGGGCTGGACTCCGGGCAGCGGCACACCGGGCAGGACTCCGGGCAGCGGTACACCGGGCAGGACTCCGGGCAGCGGCACACCGAGCTGGACTCCGGGCAGCGGCACACCGGGCAGGACTCCGGACAGAGGCACACCTGGGCAGGACTCGGGCAGAGGCACACCGGGCAGGACTCCGGGCAGAGGCACACCGGGCTGGACTCCGGGCAGAGGCACACCGAGCTGGACTCCGGGCAGAGGCACACCGAGCTGGACTCCGGGCAGCGGCACACGGGCTGGACTCTGGGCAGCGGCACACCGGGCTGGACTCCGGGCAGAGGCACATCGGGCAGGACTCCGGGCAGCGGCACATCGGCAGGACTCCGGGCAGGACATCCGGGCAGAGGCACATCGAGCTGGACTCCGGGCAGAGGCACATCGAGCTCACGGGCATACCAGGCGGGCAGCAGGCACCGGGCCACCAGGCGGAGCAGCAGGCGCCGGGCCACCAGGAGGGGCGACAGGCATCAGGCCCCTAGGGCGGAGTGACGACATCGGGGCCCCCAGGCGGAGCAGCGGGCGCCGGGCCCCAGGTGGGGCGACAGGCATCAGGCCCCCAGGGGGGGCGACGGGTATCGGGCCCCCAGGCGGGGCGACGGGCATCGGCCCCCAGGCGGGGCGACGGGCCCCCAGGCGGAGCGGCGGGCCCGGGCCCCCAGGCGGAGCGGCGGGCGCCGGGCCCCCAGGCGGAGCGGCAGGTGCCGGCCCCAGGCGGAGCGGCGGCACCGGGCCCCCAGGCGGAGGGGCGGCAGGCATCGAGCCCCCAGGCGGAGCGACAGGCATCGGGCCCCCAGGCGGGGGGTGGGCGGCGGGCCCCCAGGCGGAGCGGCAGGCGCCGGGCCCCCAGGAGGGGCGACAGGCATCGGGCCCCCAGGCGGAGCGACAGGCATCGGGCCCCCAGATGGGCGCCGGGGGTGCCGGGCCCCCAGGCGGAGCGGCGGGCGCCGGGCCCCCAGGAGGGGCGGCAGGCACCAGGCCCCCAGGAGGAGTGACGGGCGCAGGCCCCCAGGCAGCAGTGGCGGGCGCCGGGCCCCTGGGAGGGACGGCAGGGCACCGGGCCCCCAGGCGGAGCAGCGGGGGCATCCGGGTCATCAGGCACGACAACGGGCATCGGGTCACCAGGCATCAGGTCATTTGGCTCGCCAGCGGGCACCGCGTCATCTGGCAAGGCAGTGGGCACCGAGTCACCAGGCACGACAGTGGGTTCCGAGTCAACTGGCATGACCACGGGCACTGGGTCAGACATTGGATCGTCTGGCTCGACAGCGGGCATCGGGTCACCAGGCATCAGGTTATTTTTATGGCTCGACAGCGGGCAACCGCGTCATCTGGCAAGGCAGTAGGGCACCGAGTCACCAGGCACGACAGTGGGCTCTGCTGAGTCAATTGGCACGACAGCGGGCACCGGGTCATCAGGTACCGGATCGTCTGGATCGACAGCGGGCACCGGGTCATCTGGCGTTGGGATCGTCTGGCTCAACAGCGGGCATTGGGTCACCAGGCATGACAGCGGGCACTGGGTCACCAGGCATCAGGTCATTTGGCTCGCCAGCAGGCACCGCGTCAATCTGGCAAGGCAGTGGGCACCGAGTCACCAGGCACGACAGTGGGCTCCGAGTCAACTGGCATGACCGCGGGCACTGGGTCAGACATTGGATCGTCTGGCCTGACAGCGGGCATCGGAGGCAACCAGGCATGACAGCGGGCACTGGGTCATCAGGCATTGGGATTGTCTGACTCGACAGCGGGCATCGGGTCACCAGGTATGACAGCGGGAACTGGGTCACCAGGTCATCAGGTTCATTTGGCTCGCCAGCGGGCACCGCGTCATCTGGCAAGGCCAGTAATCACCGGAGTCAAACTGGCATGACCGCGGGCACTGGGTCAGACATTGGATCGTTCTGGCCCGACAGCGGGCATCGGGTTCACCAGGCATGTGACAGCGGGCACTGGGTCATCAGGCATTGGATCGTACTGGCATCGACAGCGGGCATCGAGTCAATCTGGCCTAATGGAATCATCAGATGCTGGATCAGTTCATCAGGCATAGAAACATCATGGGGTAGAGGCATCAGGCTGAATGGAGGCATCAGGTTGAATGGAGGCATCAGGCTGGGTGGAGGCATCAGGCTGGGTGGAGGCATCACACTGGGTGGAGACAATTCAGGATGGGTGGAGGCATCAGGCTGGGTAGGCGGCATCAGGCTGGGTAGAAGGCATCAGGCTGGGTAGAAGGCATCAGGCTGGGTGCAGAGGCATCCAGGCTGAAATTGTGGGCGCCGAGGCACCATGCGCTGCACACCACGGAAGGCAAGGTTCTCAGATGGGAGGCTGACCGGTTTGGATACTGGCAGGATGGTAATGGTTGGAAAGAACTTTCGCCTTTTCCTGGTTTTAGTTACCGGAGCACTGTAAGTAAGCACAGGTTTGTAAACGGAATGGAGCAGTCTTGAAGACAGAGAAGAGCTGGAAGATGGAAACAGGGGAGGGAACAGTTGCTACGGAGGGCATTCTTTACAGGGTTTAAAGGCAGGATAGGTGCAGCGAGTGGGAACAGGGTACTGACATGGGTAGATAGCAGGGTATACTGGGCTGTAACTGGAGGTGCTGTTGGGAATGCAGGAATAGAGCTTTGAAGAAATAGATTAGAAGCAGGGACTGGGTTTTTGCAAGCTGACTGAGGCTGGGTGCAACAAGTCTGACCATGTCTGCAGTATGGGTTGAACAAAGCTCAGCTTACACAAAGCTGTCTGACCAAAGACTGCACTGCGTTTATACAATCCTTAATAACCTGTGGTGAACATGCAGCATAAATGCTCCAAGAAGCAATCCACATCATCCTCTAATAACCATACCAGGGACTCTACCTGGTCTGCACTAAATGGTGTACAAAAAGTCAAATTCCTGCTTTCAGGGGTACCAGATGAAGCCAACTCTACACAAACCTGAATCAAAGTTGCACCTCAGAGAAAACTCTGTGCCCTGATCTACTAGAACATTGAGCGATCCGTATACATTCTAGCAGTTGATCCCGGGTATACTCCCTCAGAGTCTGATAAGCATATTCTCTGTCATCAAAACCAGCAGCGACAAATACACAACCTCATCAAGATCCATCCTTCCCAGCAACAAGCCAAATAATGGCTTCTCTGTGCAGCCAACTTCTGGTCAGGATTGGCCTTGGTGTAATGTCAGGGCTCCAGGGTATGACCAGAGGTATGTGAACTGACGCAGGGAAATGCAGGCTTCAGATATGATTATAAACAATATAATTAAAAGACCTAACACTAACAATACATAAACGGCAGTGCAATACTAAAACATAACACAAAAGTGCAAAAACGAAACCAAACAAAAACCACATACAGTGCCACAAGAGCCGGCCGGAATAACATACAATGCAAGCGATCGTCAGGTCAGGCCAGGGTCAATAACAATCGGGCAGGTAGGCAACAGGGGGATCAGGCAGAGAATGGTCGGGTCACAAGCCAGGGATCAAACAGGAGATCGGTCAGCAGAGGTCAATGGATCAGGCAGAAGGGGGGTCAGCAACGAAATCAGTCAGCCAGAGACAGGGACCAGGGTTCACAGTGACAGGAACAAGTGACATGGAATCAGGAACAGGAATGCAGGTAACAAGATACAGGGGCCCAGGAAAAACACACACCAAGGCCCAGACTGCAGGTCTGGCCATCCCTTAAATACACCTGCATATAATTAAGCTTCAGGTGTTTGGCTTTGCTGCAAGGGTTGAGTCTCTGAAATTGCTGGAGCACCCACTGGCCAGCCCTAGGAACAGCAGCCCACAAGGCAGGTGAGTCACACCATTACTGGCAAGTCCATGTCTGTGACACCTGATGTGTAGAAAAACTTGTGACTTCTTGTGGTTTAAACCGCAGGAATGTCTGTCAAAACATTAATTTACTTCCACACAATCATTGTTCAAACAATGAGAGCTGTTTCCCCATCATCACAAAGCTGTTGTGTTGCAAACACAATCAGTGAAATCCTGGCATAACAGAGCATGCAGGGGTTACCTGACTTATTTGGAGGTACAAAAGGATAATGAATACATTTTTATCCCCAATGTGTCTGGGCTATCAATGCTTATGTGCTTTGTAAAATATCTAATTTTCGTATTTGTTTCTAGACATCGTGGGACAAACTAGAAAGGGTAGTAAACAGAAAATGAATGACAATACGACAACAGACCTATAAACCATTTAAAATGACACCAAGACCGGTCCTATAATACATGTGGCAACAAGTACAGTGACTACTAAGTCTAAAGTCGTTGTAAGCACTAGCACATAGGTGAACCACTTCCCGCGGAGGGGTTTTGCAAAAAATTTTTAAATAAACA